TGAGCCATGGCTTCACAGAAAGGGGAAGCTTCAGCCTAAGGCTGATGATAAACTCTTTAGGACTTTGTCTCTCCCACCTCTCCTTCCTTATATCCTGGAAAGGTTGGATATAAGGAAGCACCCTGTGCTCCTTTCCCTCAAAGTGCCTGGGAATTACAGCTGTGCTCCTCTGTGAACTGGCCAGCTGTTTGCTGTGTACTGTCCATTGCAGCTCAGCAAAGGAAGGGTACTCAAAGAAGACAGCAGAGGAGAGAAGGGGAAGAAAGAGAAGGGATTGCCAGAGGAATAAGAATCTCTGGTATCTTTCCTCAAAAGGAAGAGATCTTCCCTGTCCCTTTCTTCATGTGGAGTTCAGAAAGACATCAAACCTGTGTACCTGGCATATGTGTGTGTATGTCATCAAAATAGCTGGTGCAGATAGAGTATCACTGTGAATTGTGTCTAACACAGAATATCTGTTTCACATTAATGCTTCTTCCACACGCCTTTGAATTTGAAACTTCTGAGCCTGCCTTCAGTAATTGTGGGCAGACCTCCGTTGCTTGTTGCATGCTTCATCTCCAGTTGTATGCTCAGTGCTACCTTAAGTAGAAAAGGCACAGTTAGAAGATTTTTAGGGAATATCCTCACTTTGAGTGTAGACTCCTGCCCACCTCTGGCAATGTTAAAGCTGTTCCACAAAGATCACCTCTTCTAAAAGCTATTGTGATGTCTCAGGTCAGTTTACTAGAACTACATCCGTACAAGATGAGTTTTGTTTGGTCCTTCCACCAAGACGGAGTTCCTGGGTGTAATCAAAGTTGCAACTTCATTGAGAAAGTGGCTTCACCAAAATGAAGATTCTCACTTTAAGACCTGACAAATAGGTCCACAAATACATTACATGTAGTTGAAGCTTCACCACAATTATTCTGGTGGAACTTGCTTTATCTAGGACCCCAAGCTTTACCGCTAGGTTCTTGTTTGGGTTTTGACTTGTTAACACTAGAGATGACTCCTAAGCCACAGCATTCAGATCTAGAAGTCTTTGTGGTTTTGACTGAGCCAGTTTACCAACATGTAAACAGTTTTCAACTTTCAAGAGTGCTTATCTACTTAATGACTAGATATGAATTTACAGCTTGGGATGCTGTGATTCAGATAGATCACTGTGCCTGGAGTGCTGCTAAGACTCTTTCAGTTCAGTGGGATGAATAGGAAAGATGAAGCAAGAATTAAGAGTTTGGGTGTTGGCCAAGAAGGTTCAGAAGATAATAGGTTCTTTCAGTGGATTGTTGGAGTGTTAGGTAGAAAGCTGCACTAGTTGTTTGTGAGAAGCATGCAAAGCTGCAGGTTTCATGGTTCACACCTGTTCTTTGGAGAGAGATCCATGTAAAGGTTTCCAAACTCCCTTGGGCATAGTTCTGTAGTTCTCTAAAGCTCAATTCCAAATAACAAATTTGAAGCCTACAACCTAAAGGCTTGCACTAGATTTCTGGGCAAAAACTGCTGCAGATTTGCAGTTCCGTGAATGATCGCGGTGTAGGAGCCAAGCACTGAGTGAGGCATAGAACAGTTTACACTATGTTGCCGTCAAGCTTTCTGACCCAGTCAGTTCCTGCTCCTTCTGCTGTGTTTGTCCAGGTGTGGTCTCAATTTCTTGCTTGGCTTTGGTGCAGTGTTAGGGCATCAGAAAGTGGGTGCAGCAGTCTAATCTACCTTGGTATTATGGAGAGATTCTTCGGGGGGATTCCACCGTATTACGGATGTTGGTCAGGTTGCAGAAACATGACCTCACAGATCTTTATGAACCCTGTGCGGACTGTGAAACACCCTTAATGCAAAACTACTTCACAGTGAAAACACAAGGATATCAAGTCTCATTGCCTTCAAAGATGCTACACAGTAGTTACAATGCGTGTGTGCGTATGTGTAAGAGGCGAGCTGGAAGTGTCAGTGGTTAGGAGCATGGAGTTTGTAATGGGAAAGGGAAAAGGCGACAATGGAGGAGGTCCTAAGGCTGTATGAAACTGGTGATGAATACCTAGAGGAGAAAGAAGACTGGTTAGGTTGCTTTGATGAATTATTCTGTGCTACAGCATCTCTAACACATGTGATTCTTTCAAGCAACTGGTGACTTCCTCCTCTGCACAGTCTCCTGTCAAAGTGCTCTGCAGACATTACTACTCTCCCCATACAGAACGCTGATAGTATTGACTTCTTGTTTCCATCAACAATATTAAAACATTGGAGTGATTTCCAAGATGCCGTTGCTCCTGGTCCTCACTCTGAACCACTGAACTGTGTTCCATGTCCACAGGTTTGGCCTTTATTAAGTCTCCTCTTCTTCCTTTTCATTTTGATTCAAGTTATCTGTGGAGAGCAGGTATCTATGTGGTTTTGTGTTGTTAATATGTATTATGTCCTTTGCTCTACCTGAACAGTGTGTTTTCAAGAGGGGGTACATCCCTTAACCAGCTGTGGGTCTCTTGGCTCAGCACAAAGGCCTCCTCTGAGTCCATGTAGAGAAAGAAACTGCAGAACTAGAAACTTCACAGCTTCACTGTGCTTTCTCTGGTTCAGAGGCTGTGTTCAGGTCTATGACACCTGTGCAGATGTCAGTTGCTGCCTTCAATGCAGATCCTTCAGGTGTATGTTCTGTGCGCAAGAGTGAGGTTTGCCAAAGCCAAGCAAGGAATAGAGAACACACCTGGGCAAACAGCACAGGAGGAGCACGGTGGGACAGGGTCAGAGAGATTTCCACAGTGCTGGCACCGGTGGGTGCAACTCCTGTCAGTAGTGCCAGCAGCTGCACCTCTGGCTGCAGTTTATCCATTTATGGCCATTGATGAGGTGGCTCGAGCTTGCTGTGGGACAATCTTAGGTTTCAGACAAAAAGGCATGTTTCCCTGCCATTCTTCGCAAGGAGAGGTGTCCAGTCTTCCTTGCCTGGTAGCCTAACAATGATTTGGATCAACTTAGTGCTGGTTTCTGAAATCATTTGGGTTATCTGGCCTCTGGCCAGTTATCTCCATCAGTTAAGCCATGAAACTGCTGGCACTTGAGACAAAGGCAGTGCACCAACAACTCCTGTGCATAATGTATAGCTCCTATGATGCATGCTTGTTCTAGAGTGGCCCAGTGATAGAGGTAAGAGGGGGCTCAGTCTTCTTAGCCCCATCTGGAAAAAGAGTATGGAGAACCTTGGGAACAGAGATTCCAAGTTAGCTGGAAATTTCTGGACATCCTGGGACCTGGATTTGCCAAAGAGATCCCAACTGCCTGCTTTAGTAGCATCGTGTTGGGACCCAGATACGGAAAGCTTAGGCTGCATTATCACTATTAAACAGTGCAGGGAAGTATATCCAGGCACAGAACTGTAGCTGTCTGTATTATTAGGACAGTCCCTGGTACCTTGCAGCCTGGGCCGATCAATGCTGTCTCACACAAGTCTTGGATGTACTTTGAGAATTCATGCAATCTGAGTACCACCCACAAGAGGCAGTTTACATGGTGACCATGCTTTTCAGGAGGCCATGCTGGTTAAACAGCCCAGTTGTCCACCCTTGTGTGCACATCGTCATCAGTGCTAGAAAATGCCCCTCATGTTTTAATTTGTGGGTTTTAACCCAACCCTCAGACTCAAAACCAGAACCAGGGACTGTGTCTTAGACCTTTCACACCCAGACGTGAACAGTAAGGAGCTGGAACCAGTTCCTGAGGCCCCTGCCTTGCAGGTGGTGCCATTGCTGAAGGGTGTTGCAGGGAGCTGGTATGTTGCAGGCATCCGTTGACTAGTATGCATTTCTGTTTCCCTCCCTGTATTTAGGGAAGGAAAATGCAAAGTCACTGGCTCAGTAGTGGTTGCTGGTTGGTGTTAGTGTTGCTGCAGTGCTTCCTTAGGCACAGGCAAGGTTTTGCTCCCATTCTCAAGCCAAACAGCCTAAGGAGATCCACATCCCCGTAATCTGATTCAGAGCTACGGAGCCTCTATCTTGAGTGACAGCACTGCCTGCTGGGTGCTGGGGTGAGTTCTTGCTGCCGCCTGCACAGCAACAATCCATCTCCAGCTGAAACAAAGGGACACAGTGACAAGTGATCAGGACCTGGCCTGGGTCACTGATCTGCAAAGTTCTTGCTGTTTTTTTACCATGAAAAACCTATTTGGTCAGATGTCTCCATGGCAGCCCTGCAGGAGGGGATGTTCTAAACCGGTGGGTGGCAGCCAAAGTGGCTGCTATTGGCTAAGGGGGGACTTGGCACAGCACACCCATCCCTCCTGCTGCCTGCTATAATCTCAGGAGAAGGGAAGAGGTGGAGAGAGGCTGGCTCCTCCCCCATACCATCTCTTCTTTAGGCTGTGCTAGAAAGCAATTGCCCCCCTAAAAGCAGCCTCAGTGATTTCAGAGGAAGAGGGCCACTGGAGCAAGAGCCCCCAGGATGAGGACAGGCGTCCTCCTGAGCCTTCTGTTCCACATTGCAGCTGCTTTTCATGAACTGTGAGTGATACTGATCTTATGTTTTGGTCTCTTTCATGAAAGCATCAGTCTATGTGGATGGACCACATTCCATGCCATCAATTTTCGTGCTTCCTGCTCTATCGGAGAGCGCCCCAAAGGGTAGCTGACTCTTTTTACCTAACCTCCAATGCATTAGGATTGGCTACTGTGAGTTAAATGCAAGCCACCTTTTTGGGGGGCTTCCATGTAAGACCTTAGACCCAGGGATATTTGCTTCTCCAGTTGCCATGCCAGAACAAATCCCTGGTGTCTATACTGCGAGGTTATGAGGCCACTTCTTTCGAAGACTGCCAGGAATGGTTTTGGGGAGTTCAGGAGATAACTGGAATATATAGGGCTGTAGTTAAGATAATCAAGCAGTAACTCTTTCCCAGGTTATGAGTGAAGCCATCATTTTGCTGGGTTCACTGTTCTTCTCAATATTGACTGAAGCCGTGGCACATTGCTGAGTTCTGCAGTAGCGGGACACTGCACAGAAGCTCTTCATGTTTCTGAGCCCTCAACCTGGTGCCACCTTTGATGCCTTCTTTCCCTGCCCCAGACATTACCTGGTGGTGATCCCTGCAGATCTCCGCTACCCATCCACCCAAGTTGCCTGCCTCCATATCACCTGTTATGAAGAAAAGCTTCAAGTGAATCTGGTCCTGGAGCGCTCTGCAGGACATGAGCTCTTAATGCAAGAAACCATCCAGAAGAAGAAGGCTTTTATGTGCACTAAGTTCTGGGTGAGAAAATGCCATCACTGATTTTCCCTTCTGGAACTGTAAATCCCTCACGTTACTCCCTAACAAAGGGTGACATGGACAGGGTCTATTTTGCCTTGGAGTTATTCTGCTAGGAGGGGGAGTGGATGGTGCCTAGGGATGCGAAGCCAAACAGAGGATCTGCTGGTCAGCAGTGAATTTCTCTTCTGAATCAATTGTTAAATTGCAGTTACATGTGCTAGAATTTACTGCACTTCTGGATATATAAAGAGAACTGACCTATTCCCTTCTCTTCTGTCCCAGACTAGATGAAGGAGCTTTAGCTCATCTCTAAAGGACCTGTGCAGCTCCACAGCTAAAGCCTGGGGAAGCAGTGCTTTGCATGACATCCTGCAGTTTCTGTAGGACCTGGAGTCAGGCAGCAATTCAGCTCTTAGGAGCTCCTGAAGAGCAGTTGGATGGAAATTGATGTGCTTGTTATTTTCAAGCAGCAGCTTAGAGCTTATTCATTGTTGGTGAGAATTTAGCAAAGATTTAGCATAAGGCAGATATTCCTGAACAGCATGTCTTCTATTATACACTATCTGAGGCTCTGCTACAGCTTTATTGCTCTCATTTGATTCCCTGCTACTGTCTCCCCCCTTTCTGGCATCTGCCCATCCTCCTGACAGGGTTTGAAGACTCAGAGGTGTAAGGCACCTGGTGGTCACCAGAGGCAAAATTCCTTAACCAGTGGCAAAAAAGGGTCAGGTCCCATGGCATGCTGGGCCTCCTGCTGTCTTGTAGGTCTAAATGAGATCTAGATGTGATTTGGATCCAGATACTGGCAGGAATGTCCTGGGACAGGTGGAGAGGATCTGGTTAGGTTATTCCACTTTACTCCGAGTTTCTGCTCAGGGCTCCCAGATTACCTGGGAGCTGTGTGCTCTCCTCTCTCTGTATAGGTTACACCTCCAGCTGATGGCACAGAGGAGATCGCCACTGTCAAACTGATCATCACGGGCAAAGGGGTCAGTATTGAGGAGAAGAAAAAGGTTCTGATCTCCAAGGCCAGAAGTGGCACCTTCATCCAAACAGACAAGCCCATCTATCAACCAGGGCAGACAGGTGAGAGCTGCAAAAGGGAGCAGCTGTGGGCCCTAGGCTTTTTACTGGTAACACTATATGGGAAGCCTGTGATTGCCTGAAATTCATGGACAGCCCTAGCAGAAGGCTTTGAGACAATTGAAAACATTGCTCAACAGTCTGTCATTGAGTGATGTTTTCAGTGGCTATAACATCCAGCTTCTGGTGACTGTGAAGTTGCAAGAGGCAGTAGGTAATTTCCCTGGTATCTTACATGTGGGTATATCCATGTCAGATGTTACCACAGACATGTATAGCATGGAGACAGGACCTGGGGAAACAGGCAGAGCAGGGGTCTGCATGGGAGGGCTGAGATCTGATAAATACATTCCTCCATTTCTTTGCCTTCAGTGAGATTCCGCATAGTGACTCTGGATGAGGAATTCATGGTGCTCAATGATTCGGTAAGCCAGCCCTGGGCTGCTGTGGGAAAGGCTGCCTTGTTCTGTGTGTGGATCCTACTTCCTTTCTACCCTGCTCATCTGCCATATTTCCAGCTCTTCTACATTTGTCCCTGGTCCAGGCTTGATGAGTGTCCAGAGGAGAATAGTAACCCAAGTAAAAGCTGGTAACTCAGAAAGATGACAGAGCTATACATATCTCTTGCTCATCTTACGCACAAGCATAAGACATTGCGATTCCTGATGTGATGGGGTCATGGGGAGGGAGTAATTTTCAAGTCAAGTTTTCCTGGACATGTGGTGGGGAGGTGGCTCCTATGAATTGGAACACGGAAAATTAGATTAGAAATTAGGAAACACATTTTCATTGTGACAGTGATCAGATTTCAAAAAAGGTGTCCAGAAAAAGCATTTTCATCCATGGAGATGTTCAGAACTCAGCTGCAGGAGGCCATGAGCAATCTGCTCTAAGAAGACATGCTTTTGCAGGCTGTTGGACTAGCTGACCTGCAAAGGTTCCTTCCAAACTAAGTGATCGTATACCTCTGTAACCCCTGTAGGCTGCAGCTGAGCCAAGGTAGGTCTGTTTGGGCAGTGAGTTTTCCCCATGGAAGGCTCTGCCAGGAAGTCATTAGCAAGTGCTGGGTGACCTCCAGATTGGCTTTTCCCTTTCTCCAGACCTTACTGTAATGGATTCACCTGATATTTCTCCTTTCTGGTGATGTTTATTTTGCTTTATATTGTTGTCAGTGCTCTAAATTTCCAAATCACTAGTTGCACGTCCTTCAGAGAGGGATTTGCACCCTAAGTACCTTGTGTGTGTTGCTGGCACGTGTTTCTGTTTTCTAATGGTTTTTGCCTTTCCCCCCTCCAGATTTCGCTGTTTCTCCAGGTGAGTGATGCTGAAATCTAGTGTTACAGTAATGTTGATGGCAACCATTTTATTGAGCTATTCATGTTCAGTTCCTGGTAGATTTTTCAGGCCTCTGAGTAGAATAGTAGAGCTTCAAGATTTCTTAAACTGATGCTCTCCTTACTCTTTTTATTCTTACGCACTTACTTGAAGTTTTATGCTCCCACTTAACTTCAGTAGAAATCTGAGTTGTTCTTGCACGAGTGTAGGCAGATCAACTTAGACCTTTATGGAAAAAGTCGGAACTGTGAAGGATCTTTCCTTGGGATCAGGATTTAGATAAGTGTAGGGAGACTCAGATGCTGGGAGCATTATATTGTCTTCAAAACGTTTTGACTAGCCTATACCAAACCTCGTTCCTTATCTATAGAACCTGGTAGTGTGCAGCACTGAAATCCTGCAGCTCAGTTTCTATGGGGTGTGGATCAGTGCGATGCTGGAACAATTAATTATTTATTCCTTTCTTGTGGGTGTAGGACCCTAAGGACAACCGGATAGAGCAATGGCTGGATGTGGTCCCCCAAGATGGCATTGCAGATCTGTCTTTCCAGCTAAGTGACGAGCCTTTGCTGGGGACGTATGTCATCAATGTAACCAGTGCAAAAGCTTATGGCAGCTTCTCCGTCCAGGAGTATGGTACGGACATGTGGGGGATATGTCTGAGCCTGCAGAGAGGATCCTGTACTCCTGATCCAGGAAGCTGAGTGCTTATTCCGTGATAACCATCCTGAGAGCAAATGAGAAAAGTAATGATAGCTGTCATGGAAAAGAGTCTGAGCAGAGGCTCAGGAGAGTGACCACTCTAGGACCTTGGGTCCGTGACTGGGAGGAGTGTTGTGTATGGCCACAGGCCTTTGACACAGCTGATTCCAGGTCTCTGTGTCAGACAAATTGAGGTCACACAAAGGTACACACAAATCTGCTAAAGAAACAAGGGATATCTTATTTTCCCCTTCCTGTGACCTTCCTCCATTTCCTGGCTCTTACTCCACCATGGTCTTACCTTCATGTTGATTCTCTGCAAAGGTTGTGCCTGGCCAGTGTTTCTTACAGTTCTGTTTTTTCTTTCCAGTGTTACCAAAATTTGAAGTGATCTTTGAGGCACCAAGTCAGATTTATGCACTAGATAAAACCTTCCCACTACGGGTATGTGGCAGGTGAGGACTCTGCTTGGAGGGATGTCCCTGTGTTATTTTCTGGCCTGATGGGCACAAAATGGTTAAGTCACCATTGGGAGATCTGGGTAAATTTACTACACTTCAGTTGCAGGAGGCCAGAATTTTCCATGGCAGCTCTTTGCACTCTGGTGTACACAAAACATCTATAACTTCTGGTACTCTGACGTCCCTTTTCTAAAGGCACTCCACAAGTCTCTATACCAAAAACATGGTGGAGCAACCTACTCTGACAAGCAGCCATCTGTGGGGCAGAACGTGTCAGGTGTTTGGTGTTCATCTCCCTGCAGAAGAAAAGGGAAATGGAGAAAGCTTTTCCAGATTATGCTTTAACAGAAACTAGAGAGAGGCATAAAGGAATTGCCCCAGGTACAGTCCAAGCGCAGCACTAGATGCCTCATGTAAAAGTGCTTTCTTAATGAAAGGCGTTTTATTAACCGCCTGTGTTTCTGCTCATAAGATGATGCATGCCTTCAGCATATCCTGGGCTGATGCTGGTGTGAATTGCAGAGCTCTGTGCTGAGTTAGTAACTAAAACACTCTGGTTTCCCAGAACAGGTTAGTTTGGCACCAGTTGTATCACATAGCCAGTGATCTCCCATCACTGCAGTGCCCTAGCTTGGCCCTGCTTACTGGGGCAGGGCTCCTGTGCCTGCTGTGTGGCTGCCACTCTTGGGCTATATTGTGAATACATCTGTGAATAAGTGGTCTCTGGGCCCCTGTGTCTCCGAGTGAGTGCTCTGCAAAGCAAGCCCTGTGTTCTCTCACTATGTCTGACTGCCTCTTCCTTCCTCTTCTCCTCCAAACAGATACACTTATGGGAAAGCTGTGCATGGGATGGTTCATGTGAACCTTTGTCAGAAGATAGCCCCATTCCTGCCCAGTGCTTCAAAACCAGATCTCTGTCAGGCATTCCACAACCAGGTGAGATGTGTAGCAGGAGCTAAGCAGCTTTCAGACACATTTGTGATCAGGGTAAGGCGAGGCTGCTGGAGGCTTCAGCCGAAATAATAATGACGCTACCCCGTGGCTTTTCCTCTTTCTGTACTTCCAGACAGATGAGACTGGTTGCTTCTTCACACACGTGAGCCTGTCCTCCTTCAGTCGAGACTTCAGGTACTATCAGGACAGCATAGTTGCATATGCCTTGCTGATAGAGGATGGCACAGGTAACTGGAAACTTCTCTGGTGGCTGGGAAGAGGCACGTGAAGATGCACTGATCTTACCAAGAACACTGAGGACTTTCAGGCTAGCAAGGGCTTTGAGCTTTCTGAGTCCACTGGGGCCTGCTGTCTGACCTTACAAATACAGAGCCAGCAGTTCCTGATGGCATAACACACTCACTCTGAGTGCATCTGGTCTCAGGTGGTGAAGCCTGAGGACCTCTTTAAGGGCTAGAAGTAGAAGGAAGACTAAATACCCAGATGTCTGGTATGGAATATGTGTGCGGTTGAACATGTGCATCAGTGTTATCAGTGGGTCACTGCAGGGAAGTTGCTGAGGGTGCTTGGCTTCCTTGCTCCATCCCTTACAGTTTCTGTCTCACTGCTGTCATTCAGAGACGCACGTCAATGCTTCCCACAAGTTACTAATCTCCAAGATTGGCGGGATGGCCTTGTTTGATGATGTGAATTCTTACTACCACGCTGGAGAGATATACAGGGGCAAGGTAATTCCTAGTTACAGTCTTTTGGAGGTGAGAGCATGAGCAATGCCTTCATGGGGACTGTATCTAGTGTCTTTTCTGATCTCACCTCCAGCTGGGAGCTTGGGAGGACATGAATGGTGTGCAGAGATAAAACTCTTGAATTGTCAGCAGTGAGAATAGCACCCAAGATTATCATTTGCCAAATAAGCCTGGAGGAGCAGCAACTATGGGGATCCAAATTTGGGGTGAAAACCCAACATCTGGAATTTCAGCGGCTGGGAGGCCTTCTGCTGTGAAGGGGTAGTGAATGGGGGTGAATGAACATGATACTGCAAATGATAATAGGAGGTGACCAGTTGCGGTGTTTATAATATTGTTAGTGACTGAAAGGGTGACTTTGCTGTGGTTTGAGTAGCGAGACATTCTGTCCGCTGATTGGACTCTTCTGCACTTCCCTTGCTCACCATGGTTCTCAGATTAAAGTCATCAACTACCAAGGCAAGGCACTGAAGAATAAAAGTGTCCTCCTCACAGTAAGCTATGGAGAGCAGCAATTTAAGCAGAAGTACATCACTGGGGACTGTGGCACAGCTTCATTTAGCCTGAATACAACTGTTTGGAACAGCACCTCAGCCTCACTGGAGGTAAGTGTTTGTTGGCAGGGGTGTGAATGTATCTCAGAGCTATTTATTGCCCCACAGACATTTCCCTTGTTCCCTCTTGGGGGGTTTCAGCACTTCAAATCTGAAGCACCTCAGTGCGTTCTGGATTTTGTCTCCTCCTGAGAGCTTATTCTGTTGATCCCACTTGCTTTCCTCATGGACTCTCAACATAGAGACCTGTGCTATGGTGTTGCTTAGACTTGATCTGAGCCTCTTACCAAGTGCCAGAGAGGGTGATTTGCAGCTGATTTGCTTAACTAGAGACATTAACTGTTTGGTTATTGGTATTTTTTCTCACCAGGCAAGTGTCCTGCATCAAGATTTGGATCGAGAGCCTGGGACAGTTGATTTGAGTTACCAGCGAGCCTCTTACTTCATACGTCCATTCTACAGCACCAGCAGGAGTTTCCTCTCTATTGTCCGTGTACCAAAACCAGTGCCTTGTGATAAAATGCAGGCTATCCACGTGGACTTCAGAATTTACCAGGAGGACCTGGAACATGGGCCCAAGCGTGTCGTCTTCTCCTACTTTGTGAGTTTCTGGGGAACTGCTAGTGGGTGATGGTTCAAGGTATAAGATCAGCTTCTTCTACGGATTCAGGCCTGGTATTTGATAGACTTGGCTCAGCCCAGGACAAGCAGCTCATCCAGCCATCATGGGGCTGCATCCTGGTTTCAATCCAGGGCTGTAGTAACAGCAAGAAAGCACCTTTCTTCCAGGCTCTGCACTGGTGCAGGGCAGGTATTTGCCTTACCTGTCCTCCCCCAAGACTCTTGATCCCCTGAGCTCTCCCTGCTACCTGAGAGTGAGTAAAGCTCATATCCCTTCCTCTGCCCCTGTTTAATCTCTATTTTCAGGGCTACCTTAGTCTGCATGGTAATCACAATAACTATGTGACTGGCATTTTCTTCCCTTTCTCTATCTTCCCTAGGTCACAGGGAGAGGAAGGATAGTCCATGCAGGTCAGAAGACTGTTTGGGTTGGACTGCCAAGAAGTAAGTGCACTCCCCTGTTTCATGTCTATGAGCAACCTTGTGCTTCATGTCTGCAAGCACCCTTGTCTGTGTCAGCCCATCTTATCTGGATATGTGGCATAAGCCTCTTGGCAGTTTAGAGTTGGCTCACCGCTTTTCTGTTGCGTCAGAGTACTGTGCTTTCAGGTCTCCTTTATCCTTCTGCTTTGTACCAAGTGAACAATACTCAGCATTTCCCAGCCCATAAGCTCATCCTCCTTTGCCTTAATTCTCAAAATCTCCTTTTGCTTCCCTACAAACGGCATGAAACTATAGCCTTACCCTCTATCAAACCTCTCCTGCTTTAATTTGAGGTTGTCTGCAAGGAATCTGAGTCATTAGGATGCCACGTTTTGACTCACTGTTATCTGCTTCTCTAGTTCTTTTTTTTTTAAAGCCTAAATTATAGGTGCTTTGGGGTATAAGTCACCACTTTATTGGTGATGGGATGACATATGTTTGGTGATGGGAGACCTTGAAAGATATCTGAGCCTCTCACTCTCTGTGGAGCTAAGCTTGAACTCCAAAACTGTTGTTTTGATTATTTCCTTGAGGCAATAATCAGAACCAGGAATAGTCTTTTGCTGGTCTTGAATAACAGATCCAGAGATGTGCTGAATATTTCAGTGGTCTCCAGAAATCATCTTGACCCCGCAAGCCTTGAAGAAAGGAATTAAACAGATAAATGCAAAATAGCAAAACCTGATGAGAGTTCATTTTTACTTATAAATCTACTTTCTCTTCTTCCCTCTCCTCCATCTAGTGCTGAAAGGCTTCTTCTCCATCCCTCTTACCTTCAGCTGGATCTTTGCACCAGCTCCAAGGCTTGTTGTTTATGTTCTCTTCCCTAATGGAAGAATCATTGCTGATTCTGCCATGTTCAGTGTCTCCACGTGTTTCAGAAATAAGGTAGGATTTGTGTCCATGGCTAAATGTGTGAGAGTGAATGTGTCTGCTGCAAAGAAAGAAAAAACTGAGGGACACGTGGTATGTGTAGGTGTGTGTGGCTGATACTACATGTGATACTGTCACATGAATTGCAGTGCATGAGTGGTGAAGTGTAATGTAACGTATGGAGCAAGTATGTGTTGTGCACAAGTATGTGAAGAGCACTTGGGAAACTGAGACCAACCTCATAAAGAACCCGGAGGTAAGGACTAAGCTTATTTTAGATCTGGGCTTCAAAAGGAGGAGAAAAACAGCTGTGTAAGGTACTTGATCATGGCTGGCTAGTTTTCTGGGTAGAGAATGCTGTGTGAGAATGTGTGAGTGCTGGCACAGGAATATCCCCAGTACATTGATGGGTCCCCCTCTGCCATCCATCCTATTAGAACCTCAATGTGATGACATTTTAAATACCTTCTGGGGGTCCTTGAGAGATGTCTTGGGTATCCATCCAAGTAAAGTCCTTGGAAACTCTCATCATGTAGATGTCTTCCCTGCTCAGGAATTGGTAACGTGGCCAGCAGCAGAAATGTCACTCGGGTTTTGCCTGCTTTCTTCCCATCCAGGTGGAGCTGGCCTTCTCAACACCGGAGACTCTTCCTGATTCAGAGGTTGGTCTCCACCTGCAGGCATCTCCTGGGTCCACATGTGCCATCTGGGCTGTGGATCAGAGTGTCCTTGGGCTGAAGACAGGAAAAGAGCTCAGTCGCTCTTTGGTGAGTGAGCCTGCTCCTAATTCTTCCCTTCCCTTGTACTGACATGAAGGAGGGAAAGAGGGAGGAAAGGAGACTGACAGGTCACTGCATCTGGGCAGAGCTTACCTCCCACTCTGGGCAGAGCTTACCTCCCACTCTGGGCAGAGCTTACCTGCCCATTCTGGGCAGTGCTTTGAGCATTTGGGATCATCAGATCTCTCAGTATGGCACAGATAAGGGTTAGTGGGCAAGTGTTAAGAAAAGTTGACCCCATCACTTGGTGCACCAGTGGTAAATCAGCGTCTGTTGTTCTGCCTCATGTTCAGTTCAGCGGGTTGTCTTGGCTCTGTCAGAAGAGTGACAGTGAGCCTGAGCTTTCTGGCAAGTGTTCATGCACAGTAGCCAGGAGCAATTCAAACAGGCCTTGGAAGTATGACAGGAAGGGAATGCCAGATTTTATCTGTGCTGATTTTTCCCCCCTTTTCCTTGCTTTCTCAGATCTATAGGCTGTTCCCATCTGATTATAACTCCAGGTATCCTCGCCAAGTGTCTGAAGATGATCAGTCATGCAGGTTCCCAAATTCTGATGAGCATGATGTGTTTACAGCATTCAGGGTAAAAATGGTTGATTTGGTGGGCTGGGATAATTCATGAACTGAGGGAAATGTGCCCCCTGAATTTACCAATATTCTAGGGATGCTGTTGCAGACAGCACAGGGAACACGTCCAGTTTAGGCCCTCGTAACTCACTTGTTATTTGAACAAGTGACTTGAAATGTTGACTGAGAAGAAATTGTGTGGTTACTGCACTTCCGTTGTGTGATTCAGGATGCCAAGGTATTGGTTACTTTAACTGGATTTCACACAGTTTGTCTGATCTCCATAGCATGAGCAATTGCGCTCTGCAGGGTAAGAAGGCATAATAGCTAAATAAACATGTTTGAATAAGAATAACTTTGGCTGACTCAGGCCAGATGAATTATCTCTGAAGACCTCATTTCCCATTGCTGAGGATTTCAGTAATTCCTTCTTAAAATGAAGCAAGAGAATACTTTCCCAAGCCAGAAGACAGCCAAGACCCCTATACAGAAAAAAGGCACAGAGTGGAGGGCAGAGAGGAAAGTACAAGCTTCTGGCACATCAGTTCTTTTTTCCTACAGGAAATGGGGTTGAAGATTATATCCAACACCAATATCAGGAAACCCAGAGTGTGTCCAACCACTCCATCAACAACTATGCTGCAGGAAAAAAGAATGTTTACTTCCAGGCCCATGCTGATGTTTGGTCAGACCCATAAAGCACATAACAGTAAGCATTTGCCAACTGTTCCTTCTTACAGGGGATGCTTAGTCTTTCAGGTGAAAGCAGTCCTGGGTTTGAGCTATAAGTCAGAACTTGCTGTAATTGCAAATGGAGGAGAAAGAGCATTCCCTGGCCCTGAACCTGTTGTGCTAGTGTGAGGCTGCCTGGGGCTCACAGCTTCTGGCTTTGAAACGTTAGTGGGCTGTTTGGATCCTAGGTCTTATTGCTGAGGTGAAGGAATGGTTGCCTTTCCCATGGTGCCTACAAGTACAAGTAAGGCCCAAGCACATCTGTCATGTGAAATGGAGCAAGAGATTTTAAAATCTGGGGTAGAACCTTCTGTTCCAGTACTGTGCCTCTTGAGCTGCTTGCATTAACTGCAGCCTGAGCTGCTCTGCTCTAAACCAGGGCCTGAAGACCCTGTGGTGACTGGATCTTGGTTATTTCCAGCAGAGCATCTGACAACATCTACCTATCAGCCCAATATGTTTTCACCTGTTTCTTCAGCTGAAGAGAAAGTAGACAAGCATCTCCTCAAAACCTGGATGTGGGATTTGTATTTTCTGGGGTGAGTAAGCTCAGCTGTGGAGATCTAGTTGGGGTAGCTTAGTGTGACTGGGAATGGCAGCAGTTTAGATCAAAAGCTGCTGAGGAAGATTCCTAGGGGTTCATATCTATCAGGCCATTTTTCATAGGAGCCTATATCATGTATGTTTTCTTTCACGAGATGATCATACAGAAGTATTGCCCATCCATGGGAGGTGGCTGACATAGGAAGATAGGAAAGCAGCTGTGGTGCAGCAAAACAGCTTTATTTACTACCTACACTCTACTTGTTGTATCTCTCTAGGCTGAATTTTCCAACTTGTGCTCGCAGGATGTATTCTGGGATGCAGGGGAAGCTGATTTCCAAGGAAGTCCTTCACAGGACAGGGAGTAGTGTCCTGTGGGGCTCAGTGAGAGCACAAGGTCTGCTGAGGGAGCTTTTGGAGACTTTTCATCTCCAACTTCAGGAAATGCTTGTCTGGTGTATGGAGACTGGAGTGTACTCAGGCCAGATGCCCCCACATCTGCCCTCTCCCATCCCCACTGTCCTTCTAGGTACATCCATCTCTTCTCTCCCTAGCAGCAGATATCTGCTGTGTGGTTTGTCCACTAGCCTAATCTGAGTCACCAAAGGTCATATTGTGTGTGTTGCCTTCTTGTATGTGCCTGGCAAAAGTGAAAGTCTTCAGTTACTGAAGTCAAACAATGTCATTTGCTTTAGCTAGGGCTGTTTAGATGTCTGCTGTGATAGCAGCCACAGAGCAGTCTGCAGCTCTCAGAAGCTGTGATGTGGGCACAAGGCAAGCCTTTGCCCTGTCTTCGTGTTGGACTTAAAGCTGTCAGTCTTTCACAGGAAGGTGAACGACTGGGTCTGTCTCTTCTGCTGAGTTCTGTTGATGTTGAGCCAGTCCTGTTGCTTTTCTTGTGTGTGGTTCTCCATCCCTAGGCCAAGAAGAATAAAACTGCTGACATCTGTAAACCATTTTTAGATGTGCAAACGGCAAGTGCTGTCCGAGCAAAGCACTGAGTGTGATTGGTGGCATCTTGCAGCCACATAACCTATTGTCAAAAATGTTCTGTTGATACAAACATCTGAGACAGTGGTTCCATTCTTCTCTGAGGACCTACAGGGGTTACAAGTTCAGCAGAGATTGGGGGTTAGACTGAGGTTAGGGAATGGGGTGCACTGGCAGAAGGGTGCAGACCAGGCCACCTGGTGCTGTGTACATCAAGATTCAGTTATATGCTTCTGTTGCATTTCTGTTGCATTTCAGTCCCAATGGGAACAAGAGTGTCACTGTCACTGTGCCTGATGCTGTCACAGAATGGAAAGCAGGGATGTTCTGCACAGGACCTAATGGCTTTGGACTTGCTCCAGCCACCAGTCTGCTTGTTTTCAAGCCTTTCCTTGTGGATCTCGCACTGCCATCTTCGGTGATCCAGGGTGAGACCTTCGTCTTGAAGGCCACAGTCTTCAACTACCTGCAGCAATGCATGAAGGTAGGTGAGCCTTGATAGCCTCTGCAAGAAAAGCAGGGTATGGGTGGGTAGGAGATGGCTGAAATCTATGGCTTGTGATATTTGTCTTGGTACTACTGCCATCCCTTCTGCCCCTTCAGATTCAAGTGACCCTGAAGGAGTTTGCACACCTCCAGATAGAGTCATGCAAAGGCTGTGTCTACAGCAGCTGCTTATGTGCTGGTGAAGCTAAGAGCTTTCAGTGGAGTGTCACAGCTGAGCAATTAGGTGAGAAGAACAGCAAGGTGGGGTGGTGGAACTGGGAAGAGATGGGACCAAAGTAGGGAAGTTTTGTAAGAACTGAGATTGAGTGAGGAGTTATTTGCCCCGTTAACCAGAGTACTCATTTGCAGTCATCCTAAAGTCATCATTACTCACAAGTCTGTGCTAGGAGGTACAGAACCATACAGGGCTCTGATTAGTTTTTCATTGTAAACAAGTGATTTCTGTTATGTTAATGGGAAGTGCTTTCTCAAAAAATAACACCTAATTGTTATTTTTCAGGGCTAATGAACATCACTCTCAGCACAGAGGCTGTGGCCACCAAAAAACTCTGTGGTGAAGAGATACCATTTGTCCCAGACCAAGGACAGAAAGACACAATCACCAAACTCCTTCTAGTCCGGGTCAGACAAGCTGTTCTGTTACCTAGACCTAAAAGTGGGCTTTGTGCAATTCCCAGATTTTGTGTGGGTTAATTCTGGGAGTCACCCCTTGCTATTCAAGGTGTGTAATTAGAATCTCAGGGCCTGAGCTGGGACCTAAGATGAGAGTTGATGAATGTGGGAAGTAAAGATGTATCCTCCACTTCATACCATGGAAAACTTCAAATATGTTCACTCTTATGTCCTCACTCCTGAGTTCTCTGCTGATTCTTACAACATCAGTTTCACAGACATTAGAAGTTATAATGTTCTGAAAACACATGCTGTTTTCTTACCCGAAAACTACTGATGATAATTTACATTTTTATATGATAGTGATGTTACTCCATCTGACTCTCCAGCCTGAAACAGGATTCTGTCCATATCTCTTTCTAATCCACCTGTAATTCTGTTTCCCTCCTGTATGCTCATTATAATGCAACATCTGTGTGCTCCAACAGCCAGAGGGAGTGTTGGTAGAAAAGGCTCACAGCTCCATCCTGTGTCCTGAAAAAGGTAGAGAGATTTTTCTCTTCTTTCACCCTGCTCATCCCCTGCTTTCTGCCTCACCATTTCCTGGGTCTTTCTACTTGTTGGAATGGTTTCTCTTGTCATCATGACCAAGCTACAGAAGCATACTCTAATTGCCATCTAGAGCTTCCCCTGAATAAGGATGTGGAGAAGTCCCATCTTTCAGCATCAACATCCCTGACAGTAAAGTGACAGGCTTGAGGCCTTTTTCACCTGTAGTAATAAAATGAGACTACTGGAGATGGCAAGGTTGGAGGAGATGACTTAGGATTGTTGTTCCTGTCTTGAATTTTATGGTGTATGATGGGGCCATTAGCAGATTTTGAGAGCACAAGGCACATGGAGAAGACGTGCCTGCAACTGAAACCTGAACTGAGGTGGAGTACCTTCTATAGAGAAAAGCAGGTGGCTTTGACCACAGAGGGTTTCCAAGAGAAAATCCTCTCAGCCTCTGTAGCAGGAAGGCTGTTAGGACAGTGCAGGCATCACGAGGTGGATGAAGTTGGGAGTGGAATGGGACAGGGTTTTTGAGGTGATCTATAACACCTGTGATGGGAAATGGGGTGTTAGCACAGGACAGTCTTGAACAGTTCCTGGGGATTTTGAAGGCTGTTTTCATCAGAACGCTTTTTTTTTGTCTTCCCCACACACCTTACTCCATCGGTGTCAGGGAATCCAGCACAGGAGTCTGTGTCCTTGGTGTTGCCTCTAGATGTGATAGAAGGTTCAGTCAGAGCCACCATCTTGGTTACAGGTAAGGAGTTCTCCTAATATTGCAGGTTTCTGAGTTTAGCTGTAGGAAAGTCCAAACCCAGAAAACCCCCGTACACTTTCTAAGGTTTCCAAGGCTTCAGTGCCTTGTTCTCCCTGTGTGTGCAGCTGTGTTCCCTAATTCCTGGTAGCCTAAAACATTCAGCAAGGGAGAGAGTGTTCTGTTTATGGATTGGCAATGTGTAGAATCCATATGGGGGGCACAGTGTAACCGATAAAGTGGGTGGACAGAGGTGTCCCCACAGTGCTCTGCTGGGGCTGTTATGCTGGGTGCACTGCTGGGAATGGGCCTCAGGTATGAGGAGGTGAATCCTCAAGGCTCCTGCCCACGAGGAGGTCAGGGTGCCTATGCTCTGTTCCAGGTGACCTCATGGGGATGGCTCTGCAGAACATGGACCACCTGGTGCAGTTGCCCCACGGCTGTGGGGAGCAGAACATGGTGCTGTTTGCTCCCATTGTCTACGTGCTGCAGTACCTGGAGAAGACGAGGCAGCTGACCCTTGAGATCAAGGAGAGGGCGACAGGATTCCTGCGCAATGGCAAGTACAGCAGACCCACCTTGCTCCTCTGCCTTCACCAGCGTCCAATCTACCGGTAGTCCTGGGTGCCTACTCCCCTTCCACTCAGAGTACTCAACCATCCCATTCCCTTCATAGTAATTTCATTCCAAATACCATTCTGAGCACTCATGTCCTATCTTGCTTCCCAGGGTACCAGATACAGCTGCAGTATCAGCACCCTGATGGTTCCTACAGTGAATTTGGTACCAAGGATGAGTACGGTAATACTTGGTAAGCCCAGGTCTCTTTCCCTGCTGTCTATCTGCTGTCTGACAGCCTGGAGATGGGCAGTTGTCTGCTTCCAGCGTTGAATCCATTCCATCCTGTTGAAGCCAAAGTGTTCCAGACATTTTGTGGGCTAGGAGCTCCCCAGGGGTATGCAACTCTCCTGAGGATGAACTGTCCTTGGAGCAGCAAATTAGGAATAGCACAATAGATGAGGAGAGACCCACCAGATTAAAGCTCCCACTTTTTTTCTTTTTCTTCAGCTTCTGCTTCGATTCTTTCTTTGCACTCATCCTTCCCTCTCTTTCATTCACTCCATCTCTTTCTGCTTCTCTCTTCCCTTATGCCTTCTTCTGTGTTCTCTCCCCAACCAGGCTGACTGCGTTTGTGGTTAAATGCTTTGTCCAAGCCAAGCCATACATTTTCCTGGACAGCAGGACCATCCAAGCTGCTCTTACCTGGCTGGAGTTTCACCAGCTTCCCAATGGTTGCTTCAGAAATGTGGGCCAGCTTTTCCACACAGCCATGAAGGTAGGAGCCAGAGCACCTCGAAGGACAACTCAAAACAGCTCTTGCCAAGTGTACTGATAATTATTTAGTTCACTTTCCTGTGTTGTTCTGCTTTCTTGTGTGGGAGCAAGACAGGGATAGGTGGGATCTTTGCTGAAAAGTCTCAGGTCTTTGGGTATTAACTTTTCCAGCTTTTTGGATGTTTATGCTTTTTGTAGGGAGGTGTGGATGGGGAAGTACCCTTGGCTGCTTACATCACGGCTGCATACTTGGAGGCAGGAGAGACACTGGAGGTAAATATTGGGATTCTTTGGTATGCTTTTGCCTTAAGGTTTGAATCCTGAAGAGCTGAGTGGTGTCACTGGGGCAGGCCTTCTTGGAGAGGCTTGTGGACAAAGTGATAACAGAAAAGTAGGACTTACTGAAATGATGGAAGTTTAGCTTATAGTACTTCTATGCAACCAGAAAGCAGCAGTTGGACCCTGGGGCCTTTTGGGACGGCAACCACTGCAAGCCTTTGGCTCATGTTTGGAATAACATAGCTAAATGCTGGAATACAATGCTGCTGAGACCAGTGGATTTGCTGCTTCTTATCGAGAGCAGTACTGGTGTTCTGGGGGGAACTGGAAATCCCAGTGATGCTGTAAGGCCCTGTGGAGGTGAACTGAACACAGTAATCTTGGTCAGTGTGTTGCGTGTAAGCACTTGCAATGGTGAGCTTTTGCTGTTGTGTTTGGACTTGGAAAGTAAGATGTGGTGGTGTTATTCCAGCAGAAATAGTATTCATTTCATTGAGAGAGCACTGCTAAAGCCCATAACCACCTCAGGGAGGGGGTCTGTCAAGCATGTCACACCAGGGACTGGAGAACAGTCCTTACTGGTGCTGCACTGATACAAAGAGAAGAGGGCAGGCTCAAGCACAGGGATGGATACCTGGGTGAATGATTGGGGTACTTTCTGTGTCTGCATATGCTAGTGCATCCTTCTGCTTGTGTCTCAGTGTTTGCTGCCTCACACATGTTTGATGTGACTAACACCCATCTAACTCTTTCCTGTAGAGTACAGTGGTGCGCAAGGCTCTTGGCTGCATTACTCCTTCCCTACCCAAAGCTGCCAGCACTTACACTCAGGCCCTGCTGGCCTACACCTTTGCCCTGGCTAAGGACTCTCAACGCGCGCAAGAGCTACTTGATACGCTTGATCAGAAGGCAATCAGAGCAGGTATGGGAACCTCAGTGCCAGGTGGACATCAGAGAAAGGACGAGTGACCTTTCTGAGCCCTTGGTTACATGCAACCTGGAAGGACCTTGTAGGTCTTGCCTTGTAGGTGCTTCAGGACTAGCGAGTGGGTAGCTAGCTAGTATCAAGTAGCTAGTGGACTGGCAAACAGGGCAATGGAGAGCTCAGATGTGTGGGAGGTAAAGTGTATGCAGATTATTGGCATATTAGTTTTTGCATATCACCTTGGTATGTAATATGGAGTACTGGATATTGCAAAATCCATGGGATTGCAAATTGACCCAGTGACATGATGACCCAGCCAAGAGGGTTTTACTTGATTGTCTTTGCAGACACAAGCCACTGTGCCTCAGAAGCCTCAGGATTTCTTTCCTGACATCCCTCAATGTCATCTGTTGCTTTCCTTTCCCAGACGGGCAGATTCACTGGAGTCAGACCTTGTCCAAGCCCAGACCCAGCACCAGCCTTTGGTCACAGCCACTGTCCGTGGATGTGGAGTTGACAGCCTATGTCCTTCTGGCCCTGCTCTCCAAACCAAATGTCACAGGGTCAGATCTCATCACAGCCTCTGGCATAGTGGCCTGGCTCACCAGGCAGCAGAATGCCTATGGAGGCTTTGCCTCAACACAGGTAATTTGTGGCCTGGGAAGGGGATGTTGCTTGAGAAAGAATCTCTGTACAGTGTATGCACAATATTTGCAAGTGCAAATGCTTTGAGGAGAGGAGCTCTTGTATATGGAGGTCCTCAGGACAGTGAGATCAAGTCTCTTTGGGTCTCAGAGCTGCAAATGTAATTGTTCCTTCATTTTCAGGACACAATAGTCGCCCTGCAGGCCTTGGCTAAGTATGCAGCCCTGACGTACAGCACGCAAGGGGCTGCGGAGGTGAGGGTGAGGTCCCAGAGAGGCTTTGGGAGGAAGTTCCAGGTCTCCTACGAGAACCGACTGTTGGTGCAGGAGGCAGCACTGACAGAAGTCCCGGGCAAGTTCTCAGTGCAGGCCCAAGGCAGCTGTTGTGTCTTTACCCAGGTAGGTTCCCACAGACCCTGTTGAAACAAACCTCTGCTCACCACCTTATCAAAGCCAAAACTGTCCATTGCAGCTCTGTGCAAGGAAACATTAACTGTGCCTTAATCTCACCCTGTTGCCAGTGCAACAAACGTGTCTGCTGGAGGACTGTGTCCTGTGAGGACAGTGATGCTTCCATGGCTCTCAAGTATTGGAGGGTGCAAGTGCTCTGTTAGTGGTCCTGCTAATGTGTGCCTGACTTGCACAGTCTCAAGGGGAAGTGTGAGGAGAAGGGAGCCCGTAGATGGATGGGTCATGGAAAGTTTCCAATCTGAGTGGCCTTTATTTTGGGTACTGGGATGAGTGTGTTCATTGTGAGTGGTTTATCCAGTCACTGCCTGGAGCCTGTATCTTGAGGATTAAAGTAGTCAGTAAAAAAAAAAAGTATGATAGATGATATTGAACTAACTATCCATGTCTTGTTCTGTCTTTTTGTGTCTCCCTGCAGATGGTGCTGAGGTACAACACGCTGTCCCCACAGGTCTCCACATCCTTTGCCTTGCGAGTGAAAGCTGAACCAGACAATTGCACTGAGGATGATCTACACTCTGTTACTGTCTATGTCAATGTCAGGTGACTTCTAAAGACAACACTCCAGTTGGGGAGAAAAGCCATGCATGGCTGGAGAACTGAGGGGTGCTTCTTGACTGCAGTGGGGACACCAGGCAGTTTCAGCAGACGGTCCAGATGGAACATAAGGAAGGAAAGATACAAGTGTCTCTGGGGATAGGGAACTGTTTCTGAGGGCTTTGGTTCTTGCTAGGGAGAAGAGTGCAAGTTGTCACCTCAAATCGGGGATGCTCAGAGCAGTGCAGACATCATCTGCCTGTTGTGAGAGGGAGGAGTGACTGCCTTGGCCCTGGTCCTGGCTGGACTCCTGGCTCAGGGTCCTGCATGCAGGGTATGGTGGTGAAGGGAAGGGGAAGCTGGGAGTGACTCTCTTTTTTGATCTTCTCCCCCAGGTACACTGGGAAGAGATCCATTTCCAACATGGTGATTGTGGAGGTGTCCCTACTGTCTGGATTCATCCTGGCTCCAGGGTCTGGGATGTCTGTAAGAAGCCTGGAATTGGGATGGTGATGGGGTATCAACAGGACCATATGCCCAGGGAGGGGGGGAGGTTGCATAGGAAGGTGTAGCCTGTCTCTCAGGTGAGCAATCTCGTCATCCCTTGCCCTCTGCCTCACAACAAATATGAACATTGTGTCAGCTCTCTGTGCTTTGAGGATAGTGATCCTTCTGGCCCAATTTGCTCGGCATATCCTTGAGAGAACCTAGTAGCCTAGGTTCCCTTCCTTGGGTTTTGTGGGAGCTGATTGGCCATGCAGGGAGATCAGCCTGAAGGGGCAAGAGTCCAAACTAAATTTGGAAGCGAGTGAATGAGAATCTGCCCACTCAAGCTTACCTAAACCTTGTTGGGATGTCTCACACTTGCTTTTCAAAAGACTCAACTAAACTGCTTCCTCTGCTCTCCTGTCCTAGCTGCAGCACTGGCACTCTGTGAGAAGAACTGAGCAAACACAAGGAGGTGTTGCCATCTACTTGGACAAGGTATGTGTCTGCTACTAGAGAAGCTGCAGGAGTGGGGGCAGTTGTAGAGCTGTGTGGGGAATCCAGGACTGGACTAGCAGAGCAGGACTTACAAGAGTCATTTTGACTCTACAGAGTAGGATCAAACTGATGCCTGTCGGCAGGATCAAATTTGGGTGAGGAATAAAAAGAACAGCTCATAACTGAACTTTCCTTTGCTCTTCTTCTCCAGCTGAGCCACAAGTCTGAGACCTATGTTCTGCATCTGGAGCGGGAGATTGGAGTGATCAACTTGAAGCCAGGCTATGTCAGGGTCTATGACTACTACCATCCAGGTCAGTGTGGAATGATGGGCTTCCAGGACTGTCTGGGTGTTTGCACTTGACTGTGTAAGGATAACTTAGATCTATCTTGTTGCAGAGGATCAGGCCCTGGCTGATTATAATATCTCCTGCCTCTGAGGTAGGTGTGAGTCCCTTCCTCAGCCCCCACACAGAGCTATCAGCCTTATGATGTTTATTCTGCAACCCAGCCTCCTCTCTCTGTCCCGCAGGGGCCCTGCGTGTCTCTGATTCAGCATGTTCCCTTCATCTAGGACTATATCTAGGGCCTCCAGGGACTTTAGTCTCTGCCCTTGCTTTTGTGGACTTTGTAGTGTATTTTCTGCTGGGTTGCCCTGTAGACAGGACAGGATATGATTAACATGTGTCCATGCTGTGAAGGATCAGTAGTGTGCGTTTTCTGGGACTCTCATAGATGGTTTGCACCATTCCAGAACAACTTTCAAGCAGAATTCGTGGTACCAGTTTCAGCTTACCCTGTCTGGGTATGCAGAGTCCCTCTTTCTGGGGAGATAAAACAAGGACACTAGATCAAACCAGAGAAACCCTTTCCCTTAGAGACTGCCCGGGCTCCCTAGCTATTAGCATCCCTGAGTTAATAATTTGGGTCGTATTATTTGCTCTCTGGGTTACTCCCTCTTCTGCTTTCTTTTCTCCAAAGGCTTGTTCTGCTCCCTTACTGTCCAATTTCAGCCCACAGGGGTCCTACTAGTGCAAGATGCGAGATGGAAAATCACATTTCAGTGGGCTTGGGACATTGGTGCTGGGACAGATCTCAAACTGGATTTCAGGACTAACTTCAGCCAAGCCATGCTGCTCATCCTGACAGCCATTTTCTGGAGAATTCTTTGGGGTGTCTGATTAATTCTGATTGCTTTAATTGAGGGGTTTTCTTGCTTGTAAAGATATAAAATAAAATATAAAGCACAAATCTGGCTGCTGTGTATCTGGATTCTTGTGACAGAGGATTACCTTGTAGGAGAGAGCAGAATTGAACTCTTACAGAGATAGTGTATCCGAACCATGTACCTGGCATTTATTTCTTCCAGCGCTGGGTTTCCCTCCAGAGCATTGTTGCAGCCATCAGTATGGGATAAGGACTCCTAGCCATGCATGGAGACTGATCCCACTGATCATCCTCTATTGCACACAAATGCATCTGAGCAATAAGGTCTTGACTGATTCTGCACTTTACATGGTTGTAAAGTAAATCTACTGCTGTATATCTCACAGATTAGCTTCTGGCCTAGAATAGGAAGAGGGAGGGGAGTAATTTTAGTTTTTGCTCCTCCTGTGAAGCTGGATGTTGCACAGGACAATTCAAGCATCAGTTGTCAGGCAAGTGCCTGGGAGTTGATCCCTCCCCCCCAGTGAGCTATTGTAGAGTGAACAGGGTCTTTGTTACATGACAAAGAGATGCAAAGGCAATTCACCAACAAAACATGTGTGAAAGTGCAACGTTTATCATTCCTTCAAACTCCATGATTTAAGGAACTCCAGCTCATGATCTGGGATCTTCAAACTTGGCAGCACTTGTACAGACCAGTAGGTCTCCACAGACCCTCGCTAGGGCTGCTGTGAGAGTGCGATGGCTAAGCGCAAAGTCAGGCTTAGGAGTGAGAGGTCTGGGAGGGAGGCGTGGGGTGCGGGGGAGGTCTGTATTTGTCCACAGCCTTGAAAGTTCTCCAGACCAGACCCTGCAGCAAGGCTGGGATTTGTGGTCGGTTTAAGGGAGGGATTTGGAAAGTGTGCTTATATTTCAGTTTTAGAGTTCCAGGGTAGCCCCCTGTGAGGCACAGACACAAGCACTGCAAGTTCTTCTGGTTAAGAGTGACCACCCCCCATAATCCACAATCTCCTCCAGCTAGGCAGGATGCTCACAGCCTGCTCTATGCTTCATGTGCAGGTAGCAGGACCAGGATGAGTGCACGAATTCAGCACAGCTGTTAAGTGTTACCTGTGCCTTCTGCAGTGACAGAAGTGGCTGTGCTGAGGTTGGCTTCATCCCAGGAGTCACTTTCTCCCTCCTTCTGCACCTTTGTTTAAACAGGTGCTTTTTCCTTCTCTTTATTCAGTTTCCTCAGCAGTGGTCCATGAGCAATGCAGAGCCCAACTCTGCAGAGCAGGGTTTGTGCCAGAATGCTTCATTTTTGTGTAAAAAACTCTTTGCAGATACTGCAGCTTTTCTTGCTCATGTCTCCTTCCTCCTTGCCTTTACCTCTGGCAATGTCTGCCCTTGCTGATATCAAAAAGCAGAACTGGAGCTAGTCAGGCGTGCTCCTGGTATTGGTACTTATTGGACCATTGGCTAGAGCTTGGACTCTTGCAGAGAGGGAGGAACCCCACTTATCACAGCCAAATCCACAGTATTCCTATTGTAGCAAAACACAGACAATAGGTATGATAGAAGTCCCTGGAACAGAGGTTTATTGGGAAAACAACTGCTGCAGTGGTCATACACACACACGTCCTCTGCCTACTCCTACTGACCCCATGCCCATTGAGGGCAAGCTTGTTCACACACAAACCCTGCCCTACTTATATGTGTATGTGTAAAAACTGCACATACTTGTTCTATATTGTGACATGTTTGATCTATAGCTATTGCAATTTCTATGCCCATTTTCTTAACACCTCTTCTAGGTCCTTCAAAATGTTCTTTCTTGGATTTAATCTACGGAACCCATGGTGTCTGACTGCTAGAGAGCGTTGGGAGGGAGGGGGCTGTCTTCCAGGGGAATTTAAAGACTGGGAAGAAAACACTTTTGTACAAAACATTGTTTTCTCTGGCCTAAACTTGTCCCTCTCTGCTTAAAGTGGAAGGTGTCAAACATCACACTCATTTGTTTACCCTTCTCAAAATTGAGAGGTTGGGATCATTCACCCTGCAGTCCTGGTGGTGTGCATCTGGTTTGGGATTGGCTCTGCTGCTTGAGCACCAAAGACAGCCTGCCTTCAGGGACACAAATCCAGCCTCAACTCCTCGCGTGCCTCTTGCCTGTCTCTGAGCCAGGTGATTAATGGGTCTGTGGGCTGGGGAAAGATCTCAGCACAAGGGAGCAGCCAGGTACCGTGTGCCCTACCGTAAGTACAAGTGGGTGCAGGAGCCTGAGTGCTTCCCGGCCACCAGGATCTGGTCACTGTAACAGTGATGGAGATGGGGCTGAGTTAGACGAATCATGCACACCAAACCTGCGACTTTGTGTTTTGCTGTTCAAACATGTATTTCTTTCTGCTTGGGTTGATTGCTCAAGATGTAGGTTTCCAATCAGTGCTAAGTCTGGACCTTCAAAGGTGTTTCTGTGCCCACTCTCACAAAACAGCTGCTGGAGTCAGTAGGAGCCAGGACTCTCAATACCTTTGCTATTGTGAGCCTCTTGTGCTGTTGTGAGGGATCTGGCTGTTCCCTAGAGCTTCTGTGGATCTACCGTGAACAAACAAATGTCAGATGGGATTGTTCAGCAGGCACTGCCTGTACTTTCTGAAACCCATGGAAAGAAACGAAGGGCAGCTTAACGTTGGGCATTGATTCATTTTCTTGCTCCGGTTCCTGTTCACTTGTTTATTCAGGTGCACTTACGTGTTTTTCTCAGCCATTAGCACCGGCAGCTCAGAGCTGGAAAATGCTCAGGGGCAGGAGAAAAAGAAGAGAGAGGAGCTGTATCTCCCCACTACGTGTTTGCTGATGTAAAATAAAGCCTCTAACTAGTTTCCTTGTTATGCATCAGTCTTTCCTAAAGAAAAGGGAAATATTACCAGGCCCTACATATTAAAGAGCTCAGTCTGGTACTGAAGATAAATTAGTGGCTCATTTTGAGATGAAATGCCCATTACAATAAAATAGAACTTCCTTATTTTAAGAATTAGAACCAGTTTTTCTTTTCAATTATGGAAAGATACACAGGGAAAAGTGCAGTATAATCAGTAGACTAACAAGTATAAAACTAGCATGCAGAAAGAAGGTCCCAAATGAGATGCCTTAGAAACACCAAGACAGTAAAGGACAGTGTTCTTTATGGTGACATGATTTAGTGGTGGATGTGGCAGTCCTGGGGTAATGCTTGGACTTGATGATCTTAGAAGTCTTTTCCAAGCAAGCTGATTCTATGAGTCTATGGAGTGTGCTCCTATCACCTAGGGCTAGAGCCACAGCCTTTTGGTAGCTTAGAGGAAATCCCCTAGGTCTCAAGTCATGCAGTTTTTGACCTTCTTGTCCAATGTTCAATCCTCATTTCCACTGGTGAGTGCATGCATAGGTTGGCCCTGAACTGGCCATAAGGGATGGCATGATGTAGCTGGAGTGAAATGCAGCCTTTGGAGGTGGAGTGAAAGGCAGCACTTTGCAAAGGACCAGGGCACTATTCATGATATACTTACATACATATACATACATATACATATATATATATATATGGTGCAAAGCCTCATCTCCGGTTCAAGACTGAGGCCTGCCTTGAGAGCTACAGGTGCCAAAAGCTTGGGGACAGTGTGACCGCAAGAATTCACTGTGAGCTCCAGCTGAGTGCACGCGCCAAGAGGTGATGGGGCAATCCAGCTGGAGGCAGAACAATGGGACTGGGGCTGCAACTGGCACAGGGAGCGGGGTCAGTGCAGTGAAGAGGAAACAGGTTGTTGCTTGGTAAAATAAAAAGCAAATTTGGGTGGATGATGCTTGCCCATCCACAGGGGAGTAGGAGAGCAGAGAGGCTGGAGTCCAAGAAGGCTTGGATTGGCTGGGGAACATCCTGAGTGGTACAACCCTGTGCGTGCAGCACTATAAATGCAGGAATGAGGAGAAGGAAGGAAACTTTGGGGCTTCTTGTCTGCTTCCTGGGAGAAACAGCAACAGCAGCCGGTGGCCTGGAGACCTTGGAAGGAGAGAAGCTGCACCCTGCCTTCCCTCATGACTGTCCCTCCAGATGAACCGCCTCTCTGGGGGTCTCCCATGAAAATGTGGAGTCCCTTCCTCCTGAACTGCCTGCTCTACACCCTGGGGATAGTGGCTCAACCGTAAGTGCCATTTAAAAACCTGGTCACTGGTATCTGTGATGCTGAGGAGGGGGCCAGAGTAGCAGGGGAGAGTGTAGGACCCTGCGAGTCATCTCCTGGAGGGGATAGGCATGGGATGGTATGCGGCATGCCACAAGCCTTTCAGGATCCTCCTGAAAGCGAGAACCTCTCTCATGGATATCACCATGTACAAGAACTAGGTGAGGACTGGTGATGGGAACAAGAAAAGTGAGGGACTGTGGTCTGAGGCAGGCTGAAGGGAAAGGTGTAGGATAAAGTGAAGGGCAAAGGGAAAGGGCTGCAGGGCTGGGGATGATCGAGCAGGCAGCAGTCTGCTGCCAAGGTAGTTGAGGAGCCATCTCAAAGCAAGAAGGGAAAATCCTTTTCTGTTTTCCATGTGTACTGGGAGCACCTCAGTATGACTTGGCTGCACAACTGGGCAGTAGCTACTGCCTGCCCTGGGGTGATGGTGGTGGAGGGGCATCCCAAAACACAGGGGGATCACCTGCCATGGCGGACATCACCGAGGTGACACCCCAAGGTCCTTGAGGGGTACCCTCCCCAAACGCTGAGGTTTCCCCAGGAGTGCGGGGGGACACCCCATGTCCTGTTTCACGGTGCTAGAGGTGACACTGATGGAGCTGCATCCCATTTTGGGTTTTCAGGTCACCTGAAACTGACTGTGAGGGGTTCACACTCTCATTGTTAATCTGTCCCTCTCACTCCAGCAGAGCAGCACCACTTCCCCCAGGAAGGTGGAAAGCCCTCCTGCTTCCTCAGACCGTAGAGTATTAGCGCTAAGAGTGGGTGCGATTACTCCCAGGATGTGATGCTTTATTTCCTCACTGCAGGAGGTACCTGATCATTGTTCCAGCTGCACTGCCCTACCCCTCTTCCCAGAGGGTGTGCTTGGACCTCCGTGGAGTGG